CCCTCCAACAGTGCAGATCTCCTTCAGCACTGACCCTCCAACAGTGCAGATCTCCCTCAGCATTGACCCTCTGACAGTGCGGCGCTTCCTCAGCACTGACCCTCCAACAGTGCGGCACTCTGGCAATGTTAGCAGTCTGTGATTTTGTGTAAGGTCTCTGGAAGCAGCAAATTAGAATCTTGCATTTAATTGGGATTTGGACAGCACCCTGCCCTCTGAAATCTTTATCACGTACCATCTTCTGAACCATGTGGAAGTCTTTCCTGTGCACTCCGAAAGCTTTATTAAACACTCTGCGTTCGCTAGGAGTCCAGTTACTGCTCCCTGGCAGAAAAAGAACAAACAATTCGAAATGATGAATATGCTGAGAACTTGCTCACCTGGAACGAAGCCATTCTAGGGTCAGGGCTGTTACTGCGCTAAAACACTACAACAGCAGGAAGCAGGTGCACCCCTGAACTTCCTGAACACACTCAGCTCGTGGTCTAAATTACTCCTCCTGTCTCTGAATTAGAACAGCATATTGTCAAATCCGACAACAGAGACCCAAACAGGGCAAAAAACAATCTGTCTTTCTCTGGTGCCTTTAACAACCTCAGGAACCCTCTCCACGCTCCACGCCCGCACCCAAATCACATGTGGAGATATGGAGACCATGAAAAGTAAGAATGCACACAACGAGGTGCCATGAGCAAGAAAATGAAGAGGCCCGATAATCTATTTTAGTGTTTTCAATTGGGACAGGGGGAAAGCACCCTTGCTGTTATTATCATCGTGATTATTATCATAATTTACATCCGTTCTCGATTTAACATCTCACTGAAAGACAACGCACCCAACAGTGTGGTGCTTCCTCACCACTGACCCTCCAACAGTGCAGCACCCCCTAGGCACTAACCCTCCAACAGTGTCATACTCCTTCATCACTGCCCCTCTGACAGTGTCGCTGCCCCTCAGTACTGATCCTCTGACAGTGTGGCACTTCCTCAGTATTGACCCTCTGACAGTGTGGCACTCCCTCAGTACAGCCCCTCTGACTTTTGGTCCTTATTTTCAAATCCCTCCATATCTTTGCTTCTTATGTGTTTAAACTCATCCAGCTCTGCAACCCTCAGATTTCAGTGTTTCGCTAATTCTGGCCTTTTCTGTAAGCTTAATTTATTTCACAGCACCAAAGGCAGTCCTGTCTCTAGCAACCTAAACTTAAGTTCTGGACCATCAATTAAACACCCCTGCCCTGCCGTCTCCTTGATGAAGGATATAGAACCTGCCCCTTTGACCTAATATTATGTAAGTTTTGTCAAATTTTGTCTTTTTTGTTCATTCGTGGGATGCGAGTGTTGCTGGCTGCGCCCAGAATTTGTCACCTATCCCTGGTTGCATTGGAGAAGGTGGTGATGAGCTGCTTTCTTGAACTGCTACAGTCCATGGGATGGAGTTCTAGGGTTTTGACCCAGGGACAGTGAAGCAATGGGGTAAATTTCCAAGTCAGGACGGTGAGTGGCTTGTTGAGGTTTTACAACTCTTGTCCATCTGGAAGGTTTGGACCTCTAGTGGGTTTGGAAGGTGCTGTCTGAGGACCCTAGGTGAATTTCTGCAGTGCACCTTGCAGGTGGAACATACTGCTATCGCTGTGCATTGGTGGTGGAGGCAGTGAGTGTTTATGTGGAGCCACTCAATGGGGCTGTTTTGTCCTGGATGGTGTCAAGCTTCTTGAATGTTGTTGGAGCTGAACTTGTCCAGGCAAGTGAGGAGTATTCCATCACACTCCTGACTTGTGCCTTGTAGATGGTGGGACAGGTTTTGGGAATTCAAGAGGCGGGTTACTCACTGCAGGATTCCCAGCTTCTGACCTACTTTTGTTGTCACTATTTATGTGGCCAATCCAGTTCAATTTCTGGTCAATGGTAACCCCCAGGTTGTGGGGGATTCAGTGATAGTAATGCCATTGAATGTCAAGGGGCAGTGGTTAGATTCTCCATTGTTGAAAATGGTCATTCTTGGCACTTGTGTGACACAAATGTCACTTTCCACTTGTCATCCCAAACCTGGATATTGTCCAGGTCTTAGACAACAAGGTGCAGGGCTGGATGAACACAGCAGGCCAAGCAGCATCATAGGAGCAGAGAGGCTGACGTTTCGGGCCTAGACCCTTCATCAGAAAAGGGGGAGGGGAACGGGGTTTTGAAATAAATAAGGAGAGAGTGGGAGGCGGATAGAAGAGGGATAGAGGAGAGGATAGGTGGAGAGGAGAGAGATCCCTTGAGGTTTGTCCGGAGGGAGGAGGGTAACTTCTTCAGGTTAGGCATCCTTAGAAGAGGCTTCGCAGTGGGGTTAAAATTGAATCAGAGGTAGTAGGAACTGCAGATGCTGGAGAATCCGCAGTTCCTACTATCTCTCATTGTCCAGGTCTTGCTGCTTTTAGACATGGGCTGTTTCAGTATCTGAGGATTTGTAAATGATGCTGAACATTGTGCAATCATCAGTGAATGTCCCCACTTCTGACCTTATGATGGAGGGAAGGTCATTGATGAAGCAGCTGAAGATGGTTGGATCTAGGACACCCCCCTGAGAAACTCCTGTCTTGGAGCTGAGATGACTGACCTCCAACAACCACAACCACCTTCCATAATGCCGGGTATGAGTCTGACCAGTGTACAGCTCCGTCCCTGATTCTCATTGACTCCTGTTTTGCACACTGTGTTAAGTGTGAAGCTTCATGGGACATTTATCTACTTTGTAGACCCTGTATAAATGAAGTTGTTTTTCGATTCTTGTGCAGGAGTAGCTGTGTAATACCAATTTTGAATGCTAGTTACTGATAAAAATTCAGCCATGTTTCTCTGATACCGTACCTGTGTAATGGTAATTAGCCAGTGGATGGGATGGTGGACGGGCCCCATTGTTCAGTAGCAGCATCTCCAACGTAGCCTTTGATCACAAAAAAAAATGGACAAGTTGAGAATGGTGTTTTTTTTTTTAATGCTGCTAGTTTCCAAAGGCCATTTTTGAGTATATAACTGACATAATGGCCTTTGCTGGTCTCCAGCTCTTTACAGGCCATAGCAATGATTTGGATGAAGGCATTAAATGTACAGTAGCTAATTTTGCCACTGACATCAAGCTAGGTTAGAAAGTAGGTTCAAGAGGCGGTAAAGTGTCCTCAAAGAGATCTAACTTAGCAGATGGAGTATAACTTGGGTAGATGTGAACTTGTCCATTTTGGTGGGAAGAATAGAAAAGCAGTCTACTATTTAAAGAGAGAGAAAGATTGAAGAATCTGGTGGTCCTGAGGAACCTGGTTGTCCATGTCATCATGAGAGGTTAGTATGCAGGTTCAGCAAGTGATTAGAAAGGTAAATGAAGAGCTGGTGTTTATTGCAAGGGGAATGAAATATAAAAGTAAGGAAGCTTTACAGGGTCCTGATGAGACCTTACCTTGAGTACTGAGCACAATTCCGGTCTCCTTATTTCAAAAGGATACAATTGGGACTGAAGCTGTTCAGAGAATGTTCATTCGACTAAATTCCTAGGATGATTAGCTTATCTAATGAGGAAAGTTTGTACTAAGTCTCTATCCATTGAAATTTAGGAGAAAGTTGAGGGAGGGGCTTTGCGGATAATCTTATCAAAACATGTGCGTTCTTGAGGAGGCTTGATGGGAGTTTGGATATGAGAAGGTGTTTTCTCTTGCGGGAGAGATTTTGAGAATTTAAGAATAAGGAGTCTCCCTTTTAGGCTGTAGACGACGAGAATTATTTTTTGAAAGATCAATAGAGGATGGGATTATCTTTGTCAGAAGGTGGTGGATGTTTTGTCATTAAAACTGAATTTATTCAAGGTTGCGCTAGTTAGATTTTTATTAAACAAGGAAGTCAGGTTACTGGGTGAACAGCAAATTGAAGTTCGGCCACAATCAGGTCACCTATGAGCTGATCAAACTATTTTTTAATCATTTGTGGGATGTGGGTGTCCCTGGCTGGCCAGCATTTATTGCCCATCCCTAGTTGCCCTTGAGAAGGTGGTGGTGAGTTGTCTTCCTGAAGCGCTGCAGTCCACCTGCTGTGAGTTGACCCACAATGCCATTCAAGAGGGAATTCTGGGATTTTGACCAAACGACAATGAAGGAATGGTGATATATTTCCAAGTCAGGATGGGGAGTGGCCTGGAGGGGAACTTGAAGGTGGTGGCAGTCCCATGCATTTGCAGCCCTTGTCCTTCTAGATGGAAGTGTTGTGGGTTTGGAAGGTGCTGCCTGAGGATCTTTGGTGAATTTTGGCAGTGGCAATGCGTCTTGTAGATGGTACACACTGCTGCTACTGAGCATCGGTGGGCGGGGAGTGGGATGTTTGTGGATGTGGTGCCAATCAAGCGGATGCTGCTTTGTCCTGGATGGTGTCGAGCTTCTCGAGTGTTGTTGGGGCTGCACCCATCCAGGCAAGTGGGGAGTATTCCCTCACACTCCTGACTTGTGCCTTGTAGATGGTGGGAGTCAGGAGGTGAGTTACTTGCCACAGTATTCCCAGCCTCGGACCATTCCAATGAAAAGTGGATCAGGCTCAAATTGCTGATTCACTTCATGGCTCCTAAATCCAATGTCCCCAAAAGCATGAGAATTATGCTAAACCTTTATGAATCTCTGGATTAAGCCCCATCTGGCAATGGGAGTGTCCCTGCCTCTGGGCTAGAAGGCTTGGGTTACATTTCTCAATAACAGGTTGGTGAAAATTATATAAAGCCAGTCAGCATTTTGAGCCTGTAGATATGGTTTATTTGGTATCAAAACTTTACCTAGCCACATTCACTGTGTAGGCCTTAATCATCCAACCTGGACTTGGACTCAACAAAGATTTCATACTCCTAGTGTCAGAGAATGTTGGCAACCACAGAGTCCAAGGTCACCTGCTCACATGCTACACTTACTGCACAGAATATCATAAATTACTGCATGCCAGAATAATTTCCAGGAAAAGTAAGGTGCGTATATTTACCATGATGTCTCCATTTAACTCGGAGAGACAGTGTAGGGTGAATTCCCGATTGAGTCCTCCACCAGGCAGCACACTGGAACAGGCCATGTTCAACATATCCTCCACTGAAAGCACAGAGCAAACCATTGGAAAGGATTCACAAAATGGTTTCCATTAAAGAAAATGAGATCAACTCTTGGTTCATGTAAAACAGAAATTGCTGAAGAAACTCAGCAGGTTTGCAGCATCTGTGTAGAGAACGCAGAATTAATGTTTTGAGCCCAGTGACCCTTCTTCAGAATGGCCTGAGGAGGTTCAGGAGAAGGGTCACTGGACTCGGAACATTAACTCTGCTCTCTCTCTGCAGGGGCTGCCAGATCTACTGAGTTTCTCCAGTGATTTCTGTTTTTGTTTCAGATTTCCCAGCATCCGCAGTTCTTTGATTTATCTTGATTCATCAAGCCTCTTTGTTTTCCAGAAACGCTTCACTCTTACAACGGCTCTTGACATTACCAGCCCTACTGAACATTTCCTGTCTTTATTTCACCAGCTGTAGTGTTTTACTTTTACATTTTTAAGTGCTTTTCATGACCTTGGACGTTCCAAAAATTCACAAGCAGTGAAGTACTTATGAAGTGTACTCATGATTATAATACAGGAAACCTAGCAGTCTACACACTGGAAACTCGCAAGAAACAACCTGATATAAAAAGCATGCTGGAGAATTTGTGGGGCAAGGAACAGAGTTAATGTTTTGAGTCCAAAATAACTGTTCTTCAGAACTGAAGGGGCTGGAAAAGTGATAGATTTTATGCTGTGGAAAAAGTGGAGAGATTTCATGGATGTTACCAGACTTGCTGAGTTTCCCCAGCAAGAACCTTACTTCATTTTAGATCTCCAGCATCCGTAATTTCCTTTTTATTTTAGCAGCAATTTGATGATGGTCAGATAACTTTTTTACACATTCAAGCACGGGATGTTGGCTGGACCAACGTTTATTGCCCTACCCTAATTACATCTTGAAAAGATGGCAGTGAACTGCCTTCTTGAACAACTGCAGTCTATGAGCTGTAGGTGGACCCACAATGCCGTTAGGAAGGGAATTCCAGGATTTTGATCCAGTGACAGTGAAGGAATGGCGATATATTTCCAAGTGAGGATGGTGAGTGACTTGGCGTTGACGCTGTTCCCATGTATCTGCTGCCCTCGACCTCTAGGTGGTAAAGAATGTAGGTTTGAAGGAGTGTTCAACAGCTCTTGTTGAGTTGCTGCAGTGCATCTTTTAGTTAGTCCGCACTGCCGCTACTGTGCATCAGTGGTGGAGAGAGTGAGAGTAAGGTGGTGGATGGGGTGCTGGTCAAGCAGGCTGCTTTGTCCTGGATGGTGTTGAGCTTCCTGAATATTGCTGCAGATGCACTTATCCACAGGCAAGCGAAGAGTACTGCATCGTACTCCTGACTTGTGCCTTGTAGACAGGATCTGGGGAGTTAGGATGTGGTTACTCACCATCGAATTTTCAGTCTCTGACCTGCTTTTGTAGATGCAGAATTTGTATGGTTGGTCCAGTTCAGCTCAGATAATCTGATCCATGCTGTTTGAGGGATGCATATTGAACCCAGGAAAGCAGGGAATATACTTGCAACAGTGTCATTGGGTACTTTCATGTCCGCCTAAGAGGCCCTCAGTTTAAAGTCTGACATAGTTACTTAGGAGGCTGTCTTGATTCTTGCGCTCTAATCCGCGGAGTAGGGTTAAAATGTATGACCTGCTGACTCTGAGCTGCGGGAGAGATCTACTGAACCACAGCTGAAAGTGAAAGCAGAATGACCTTATTCCTGTGGTTTTTCTGTTTTATTCTGCCTGCAGTTTTACATAAGCATTAGTCAATGTTCAGTACAAATCACTTAACGGGGAATAAGGGAGTTTCAGTATGCAAAAAGATAATAAGCCATCAGTTAGGTGTTCCTTTTACATCTGTTTGTTGTTGCGTTCAGTTCACCTGAAAGGAAAACACCTTTGACCCCAAGTCCATCAGGAAGTGTAAAGAGATAGTAGGAACTGCAGATGCTGGAGAATCTGAGATAACAAGGTGTAGAGCTGGATGAACACAGCAGGCCAAGCAGCATCAGAGGAGCAGGAAGGCTTCCTGCT